GACAAACTATGACTTTCTGCTGTAGTTTACAGCTGGAAGGAGGAGGAGAAGGAGGGAGGAGGAGAAGGAGGTGGGAAAGAAGGAGGAAGAGAAAGAGGAGGATGAGGAGGAGGAGAAGAAGAAGGAGAAGAAGGAGAAGAAGGAGGGAGGAGGAGAAGGAGGAAGAGAAAGAGGAGGATGAGAGGAGAAGGAGAATGATGAGAAGGAGGAGAAGGAGGAGGAGAATAAGAAGAAGGAGGGAGGAGGTGGGAGAGAAGGAGGAAGAGAAAGAGGAGGATGAGAAGAAGGAGGAGGAGAAGAAAAAGGAGAAGAAGAAAAAGAGGGAAGAGAAGACAGTAGGAGAAGGAGGAGGAGAAGAAGAAGGAAAAGAAGGAGGAGGAGGAGAAGAAGAAAAAGGAGGAGAAGGAGAATGAGGAGAAGAAGGAGGAGAAGAAGAAGAAGAAGGAGGAGAAGGAGAATGAGGAGGAAGAGGAGGAGGAAAAGGAGAAGAAGAAGAGGGAGCAGAAAAAGAAGGAGGAGGAGGAAAAAAGGAGTAGAAGAAGATAGACATTTACAAATATTTATATATATAAACATGTGTTGGAGGATGAATCTGTTTTATCTACACAGTATGTTCTTGTTCTCTTGATTATCTTCTTCTAAATGAACAACTTTATGGAGAGATATCCACATGCAATGAAAGTGATCTTTACTCAAAGCCGAAAGTATGTGGATACTTCAAGTAAGTTTCAATGTGAAACTGCTGCACAACAAGTGATAAACACCCGGTGACACAAAGTGCCACAATTCAGAAGAGAATCACCCAAAAACAAGTTCCAGAAACCCTGTTCAACCATTAGGTTATATTTAGGGCTCCCAACGACAGCTAGGGTAAAGCTTTAAAATAACCCGTGATTGTGTTCCATATTGGGACCAAGTTATGCGGACAGAAACAGATTTGTGCCAACCATTTCCAAGTTTACAGAAAAGGAAAAAAGCAAGGAATCTATCAAAATGTTCAAGATAATATTTGCTACACAATTCAAAGTTATAAATCATGAAAAAAAAAAAACAGCAAAATTTGAGACAATGACAAATAAGGAGACACATGTTGTAATAAATAAAAAGCAATCAACTCTGTATTATAAAAAAAATTAGGTTTAACATGTGGGCTCATGGACTCCATTATGAAGATTACATCTTTTACTTCTTTTGTTATCTCACTGATACCAGGTCGTTGCCCAGTGTCATGGTTTTCTCTATTTGTCTAGTGCTTTGCGGGTGCATGGGTGATGGATTTTTTTCAAATTTTTTTTTGCAGGCTTTAGCTACATCAGTTATCCATATTTTTCTTGGTCAGCTTCTCGTCTATCCCCAGATTTTCTGCTGTAAAATGTCTCATACGTAGACTGGTCTGGCTGCATTCTCATTAGATGACCGAACCATTTTCTTCTTTGTCTGTAAATATAATCCAGACCTGGTCTTATTCCAACTATTTCTAACACTGGTATTGGTAACCTTGTCCTTCTTGTGTTGTTAGCAACCCTATTGAGACAGCACATTACACATGTAATTATTTTCTGTTCTAGTGCCCTATTCATTGCCCATGTTTGGCACAACAAGCACAGAGTCAAAGATGATTAACATTTTGCTGAAACTAAATGTGTTGGGACACAAATACTGCAGTATAGCTGTTTAGTGATTTAAGAACTAACATCACAGCACACGCAGAGATGCTTTGTAACCTGCAGCAATTGCCTTATGCTGCAGATGTTGACTGTTCAGCAACACACTGGTTGTACACTTGGCAAACTCTTCCTCTCGTATGTAATATTTTGTGTGCGTGCTGGATCCACACTTTCAAAATGTAAACACCTTTACATATGCTGTGTCTAAAACTGTGCCTCCTTCAGCATTCTACATTTGTGGTCCTCAGAATGTCTTGCCTTTCCCATCATCAGTGTTCCTGTCATACTTTTACGGCCAAAAATCTCCACTTTCATTCCTTCACACTCCTGCATGTTCCGGACAGTGTGTCCACGTCAGTCTCTGTGATGCCAAGTGCTGATGCTTGGTATTCCCTTATTGCACTTATGCCTAGCTGTAAACCACAACACAAAATACCAACTGCCCATTTACAGGTGAATGCAGAAGAAGAAAAAGAAGCAGGAGGAGGATGAGGAGAAGAAAAAAAAAGAAAAAGAAAGTGAAATTTCCTATTGTGTTGAATGATACACCCTTAACATAAACCTAAATGATACCAGTGACAATGTCTCCTAAAAATTATTTAAATCATCAGACATGAATAATGAGGGTGGGTCCCTGTGTAGGTTCCAGGACCCATGTTAAGGAAACTAACAGATCCACTGCCCCGTATCAAGCATGTCATAAAAGTAAACTAATTAGGGGTGTTTCCTGCGAAGTTAGTGTGTCTGCTTGAGAGGCCAGGAATCAACAGTCTGCATACAAATGACCTAGATTGTAAATAGACCAAAATCCAGAAATGTAAGAACAACTAGAACTTTCCGTCAGAGATTACAGCTAGTGAAAACAAAGAAGAAGAAGAAGAAGAAGAAGCGGTGGTGGTGGCAGAAGTAGTAGTAGAATGAGGTGTCACTGCGACTGTGATACACATTTCTGCATTAAGACCAAGTCTACAGTAAGCAAAAATAGTGTGTTATACTTAATCAGTGATATTAAGTACAATCCTTGTCCAGTTCACGGTCAGTAAATTATAAGTAGTTAGCCTCTGTAGTATATTATTAGTGACTCTAAGTACAGCAATTTTCCTGTAAAATTATAACCAGATTTCCCCATATGGGTTCCGGGGCCCCATTGTGGGGAAAACAAGAATAGACCCACTGCCTCCCCAAAAGCATGTCGTAAGAGTCGACTAATTGAAGTTGGAGTGCATCTGCTGGAGAGGCAAGGATCTGTAAAACTGATGCCCACGCAACACTCAGGTTCTGGAGCAGGACTGCAGTTCAGTAGTTGATGAGCAACCAGAACTTTCTGCCAGAGTGTAAAGCTGGTGAACGCGAAGAAGAAGAAGAAGATAACCAGATTAACTTTAGGTGGTTGATTAATGACTATTAATTACACACACTTTTCAACCATCATTAGAGCATGGATTTCAGGTCCTCTCCATTGTAGAGACCATGTGTTGCCCATGCAACATAACCTCTCACTCAGCCTGCTTGTTTACTCCAAAGGAAAGGTTGCACTAAAACGGTCAGAAAACATGCACACCGCAGAAGTTACCAGATCAGAAAAGCAGTGCTGTCTATCTGCCTGTCAGATTTTCCCTTCTAGACCATGTACTACCCAAGGCTTGGGGCCTGGTCTGCCCTGCAAAAACTTAAGTTTTCAGGCTCTTTTTCCTCTTCCTGGGATCTGTGATTACATGCAGATCAAGTCTGCAGTATTTGATCAGTGACTTCATAAGTAAAACACCTTCTGTGTGAGCCCTTGAAAGGATGGAAAGTGAGCTGTTTTGTGGTTTACAGCTAGTTTACAATGTCTACACTCTTTGGTCAAAAACATTAAACAGCAGCAAATCCACAATCAGTCACTTTTTAGGACATGCTTGTTGAGGGGCAGTGGGTTTCTTACTTGTTGCCAAAAATGGAGCTCGAAACCCACATGTGGAGTATGCAGTAGTTGATACGTGACAATTAAGTAAAACAATTTTAGATAACATCTGTAGTATTTGAATTTGATCACTGACCGTCTTCTTCTTAAAGTCCATGCTGTGTGGCGTTGGTAGTCATGTCAATCCACAACCTTCTGTCTCATGTACTTTCAATTCAACTCTGACACATATGATCCTTCATTCCATGAAATCAAATTGTCCAGCATCTTTTCTCACGGTCTCCCTCTGCCTCTCCTCCCCTCCAACTTTCCTATTATCACAATGTACTCCAGTTTTCTCCTTCTCATCACATGACCAAAGAATGTAGATTGTCTCTTTCTGATGTGGGCAACCAGTTCTCTTCCAGAGTCAGTTTCTTTCAAGACATTTTCATTACTCTTTTTATCTGTCCAGGGTATCCTCATTTTTCGTCTATAAAACCACAACTTCGCAGCTTCCAAATAAGTTTTTACCAATTTACCAACTGTCCATGATTCACTTCCGTATATTAAAATAGGATTTATATTATTACTCATTTTTAAGAATTCTCTTTCTCATCTCAACGGATAAAGACAGATTGTATAAAATACTCCACTGATTGTAATAAGAATAATAGCAATAATTCAGCATTATGTGGTGAGTAAAAAAATTAACTCTTTAGTCACAGATCTGTAACTAAAAGTACAACAGTTCTTCAAAATGTGGTCACTATAATTATAAGTGGATCACACTTGTAGTAGTTGATCAGCGGCTATACATAAAAAAAATTTCTTCAAAATTTGGCCAATAAAGTTATTTATAAGTAGATCAAGGCTGCAGTAGTTGATCAGTGACTATTTCTACAACAATTCTTTAGTATTTGGTCTCATTATTTTATTATAAGTAGTTCAAGTCTGCAGTAGTTGATCAGTGACTATTTCTACAACAATTCTTCAGTATGTGGTCACATTATTTTATTACAAGTAGATTAAGTTTGCAGTAGTTGATCAGTGACTTCAAAAGTAGTACAAGCTTTCTGCAGATGGCTCAATGGCCATTTTACTAGATTTACTGGTTTCACTCGATCACACACCATTAATCCAAGTCCTCAGCTTACTCAAGAAGACAGATTAAACAGATGTTGCTAGCATCACCTAAAAATTGTAACTTAATATTTCTATTTCCGATGCTAATGACAGATTTCTAGCCACAACGCTCATTCATGATTCATGACCATGACAATGTGAAGCTGACTAGATGTGCTTTTCATCTGGACTGCTACCTGTTTTTTTATTAGTAGGATTATTTTCAGGAATCTTGGCATACTAAATACATTCTCACATGTAAATGGTGGCACATGGTGATAAAGAATAAGGCACAGGACGGAAGGAGAATTAGCAAAGACACTTTATCATCTGTACACAATCTGATCCATTATTATATTCCCTGCCTTGTCTTTCAAACGTATGCGGCCATTGGGGAAACGAGTCTCATGACGGCCATCAGAGAACACTGTTTTGACAATGCCATCTGGGAACTCTCTTCTCTATGGAGGAGAAAGTAAAAGAAAGTTGTTAATTTAACACTACCGGCTACAAGCAACGTGTGAGGTTGCATGGTTTTTTCTCCTTAAATCCCAGACATTACTTACAATGTGTCCTCGTTTTTTTTTTTTTAAACATTTGGCCAGAGCACACTAAAGAAATCTGGCAATCCCTGTGACTACCTTCAGACCGCATTAAGTAAAAAAAATTTTAACCTTTTTTCACAGCCATATTCTTCCTTTATGGACATCTACTACAGTGCTACAGAACCTTTGGAACTGAAAAGGATAAAAACCGGCCGTGGCTGACATAAGACGTCATCACTGACAGACTTCAAGACAAAATGGCTGACAGCTGGCTGACCTCTTATGCTCTAAAAAATTATTTATTTCTACCTAGGTTTTGCTGTTGCAAATTCCCCATTTCCAAATTGGGAGTATAAAGATTCTAACACCCAGCTAAAGAGTTGAGTGCTCGATCTGACACTGTGAGATGTAGATTTCATGTGAACTACGTTCAGAATAGTGCATGTTTTTGTTGGTGCAAATGATGACTTTCAAGGAACAGTGTTGGCACATCTAACAGTGGGCTTATGCATTTTTACTTTGCGTGAGCAAAGACATTTTTAGGTCATTTTCATTGGCACAGGAACGGAGCAGTCATAGGACGACATGTCTTTAGTGGTGTTGGAACCTCGACTAACAACATCATATTTGGTAATATGAATGGTCAGTCAGTCAGTACTCAATAGCATGTCCTTTGCAGAACCTTGCACACCCAGAACAACCCTCCGGAAAACTTCTTAATAACAAGCAAGATGTCCTGCGTCCGATACACCCATCTGGAGATCATCCGCCACATCCAGCACCCATTTCCTCTTTGAACGCTACTTTTCAATCGTGTCACAAAGTCAACTAGTTGTGGGTGTATCCTCCGACGTCAGAGTACATCTGCCTCACAGGCAAGGAACCAACAGTCCACATACAAATAAGTCAGATCTTTAAAATGGATGTACACATAAAACTCAAGTTCTAGAACAAGATAAAAGTACAGAAGTGGATGAACAACCAGAACATTTCCGCTGGAGTTTACAGCTGGTGAATGTGAGTAAAGAAGAACCTTAAAACTTTATTTTTTTAAACAGGTCTGAGAGGCAGGACACAGGACTCATAAGGCAACAGCATTCTTTGGTCATATCAGAAGATGAAAAGTAGAACATCAAGCTGGACTGGTAGAATTTATTATATATTGTAAATGTTCAATTAAGAATCATCATTACAGCACTTATGACACTCCCAAAAGTGAGCCATCCCGATCTTCAGCAGCAAGTGCAGAGTTCCAATTCTGATAGTGCCGGCAGCAGTCTGACCGTATGCCTGTCTTGCCTTTCCCTTGAGTGCTGAGCATCAGCCAGATCTCCTGGTTACTCCTTGCACCACCATTCTCCTCAAACCACGATGATCTCTGTGTGTCTCTCCACTGTTGACTCACTACAAAACGGCCCTTACAACATCTAGCTTGTCATACATCAGTTCACCATCTGGTGGTGCAGAACCAGCCAGTCTATCTGCCTGTTCATTTCCCACCACATCAGCATTTTATAAAACATGAGAGACAGAGGACCACTTTGGGTGTGTTAATGAAGCCCATTAAAGAAGCAAAGAATAGTTACACGGTAGTCTATCAAGCATGTCATGAGAAGCAACTGAAGAGGGTTGGTGTGAGACTCACTGCACAGGAAACTTTACCACAGAGAACTGTAGCTGCTAAATCCAGCCAGTAATGAACAAGTTAACAAAGTGCTCAATGTAAGAGTCTGTGCTGTTTTGAAATATTAAAGGAAGAAAAGAAGGAATAGCAGAAGGATATGGAAGATGGAGAGATGACGGACTGGAAACAGAGGAAGGAAGGAATGAGCAGGAGGTGGTGGTGAAGAAAAAAAAGAAAACAAAAAAGAAGAAGAATTAGACCCCCCCCCCCCAAGGAAGTGGTGGAAAATCTGTTTTATTATCTACATTGCTTGTCTCGCTCACTTGATTCTATTTTCCTTCTTTATCTCACCTGATACTCTGCAGTATGAACTTCCCTGTCTCCGCTGGGATACTCTATAATTCGCTCCCCTTTAGTATTATACTGCATGACTGTTCCGTCGGTTAATATCACTTCCTGTCCGCCATCAGGGAAGAGGTACTTGACATCTTTGGATGGGAACGTTATTTCCACTGTACCATCGGGATACCTTCTCTCTATCTGACCACTGCAGAGGTGGGTTAAAAGCAAACATTGTAACAAATTAACACTAGTATAATAACATCAATTTTACAGAAAGCAATGCCACAAGCTCAAGATGACATAAACTAATCTGATTCAGATAGGAATGTCCCTGATTCATCCTGACATATCAATTTTCTATAGAAGCAATGTCCCTGATTTGATTTTATTGTGCTTTAGAAAGCAGGGTCTCACTGAAATACATTAATGTGCCACAGGAAGCACTGTTACTGACTCACACTGACAGAAATATATGTATTACAGAAGGCACTGTTACTGACTCACACTAACAGAAATATATGTATTACAGAAGGCAATGTTACTGACTCACACTGACAGAAATATATGTATTACAGAAGGCAATGTTACTGACTCACACTAACAGAAATATATGTATTACAGAAGGCAATGTTACTGACTCACACTAACAGAAATATATGTATTACAGAAGGCAATGTTACTGACTCACACTGACAGAAATATATGTATTACAGAAGGCAATGTTACTGACTCACACTGACAGAAATTAATATGCTACAGAAAGCAACGTTTCTGACTCACAATGACAAATAAATGTCCCACAGAAAGCAATTACTGACTTTGTTTGACGTAAAAATAATGTGTCACAGAAAGTAATATTACTGACTCACACTGAAATAAATTAACGTGCTACAGAAAGGAATGTTACTGACTCACACTGAAATAAATTAACGTGCTACAGAAAGTAATATTACTGACTCACACTGAAATAAATTAACGTGCTACAGAAAGAAATATTACTGACTCACACTGAAATAAATTAACGTGCTACAGAAAGGAATGTTACTGACTCACACTGACAAAAATTAATGTGCTACAGAAAGCAATGTTACTAACTTATTTTGACATAAATTAATGTGCCCCAAAAAGTAACATTACTGACCCACATTGACATAAATTAATGTGTTACAGAAAGCAATGTTACTGACTCACACTGATAGATTAATGGGCTATAAAATGCAGTGTTCCTGATGCACATGGCACAAATTAATGAGAATGCAATTTTACTAATCCACAACTGAAATACATTAATTTACTAGAGAACGCAATCTCTTGGCTTAAATTACAAAAATTAATATACTAAAGAAAACCAATGTTACTGACTCAGAAGTGACATAACCATATTAATTTGCTATTGAAAGTAATGTTACCGATGCAAAGTGGCATAATTTAATTGGTCTGTCTTACAAACTAAAACCAGGCAGCAGTGCAGTGAGTCGACATGAGAGTTAATATAAAAAGGCTGCCTCCATACAGATCGAACTTAGGACCAGTTGGCAAGCAAGGGTCGAATGCATTACCACAATTCCCTACCTTAATGGGGAATTTTCAAAAGCTCATATCACACAAAAGACAACAATTCACAGCATGCCTGAACTCACTTCTTAAACTGAAATGTTTCTAAGCCATCTGGAAAGGTTGTCTGCATGATCTCAGCTTCTGCAAAAATGTACACCTGCGAACATTATATTGAAAGCATTATACAACCTCCCCCATGTAAAACTTCCTGGGATCCCATTATGGGGAAAACAAGAACAGACCAACTGCCTACCCAAAAGCATGTCATAAGAGTCAACCAGTTAGCAGCTTTGTTTGAGGTTGGCACATCTGCCTGTGAGGCAAGGAACCAACAGTCTGCATACAAATGAATCAGATCTGTAAAATGGATTTGCATGCAACACTCAGGTTCTAGAATAGAACTAGACTCCTGAAGTTGATGAACAACCAGACCTTTCCACTGGAGTTTACAGACAGTGAATGTGAAGAGGAAGAATAAGATTATAAAACTGAAAACACTGAAAAAAAAAAAACCTTCACATGTCTAAACACATTATGTGCCTTGCAAGATGGTGCAGGCATTGATGTTTCTCCACAAATCAATTCTTTATCTTCTTCTTCTTCATGTTTACCAGTGGTAAACTCAGAAAGTTCTGTCTGTTCACCAATTTTTGTTGTTCCAGAACTTGACTTTTGCATGAACATCAATTTTGCAGATCTGGCTTTTTTGTGCAATGGGAAACTACCACATTACTATCCCAAGAAACTCATCATGGAAGCTGAACATCAAGAAAGATTTCCTAATAAACAGCATCCTGTCCCGGAAGCTGAAATATTTTAGTCATAGCGCCACAACGGATTGGAAAAAATTATAGCAGAAGGCATAGTACTAGGAAGGAGGGGCAGGGGCCGACCGACACGAAGATGGGCACAGGATATAAGTGACTCCTTGAGTGTGAAAGTGCATGAGGCGGGAGAACTGGCAAGAGACTGAGTTTCTTTCAGGCAGACTGTGATGAGAGCGACGTTCTGCAAAGGACCTGCTACATGATGATGATGATGACTTATTTTGTATGCATTTGCCTCTCAGGCAGTTCCACTCCAAATGTGAAGAAATTAGCAATTAGTCGTCTATAACGACAAGCTTTTTTGGGGGCAGTGGGTCTGTTCTTTCTTCCTAGAAAAAGGGGCCTCAGAATCCCTGTGGGAAATACTGTGTCTTGAATTTGAAAGTTCATTTTCTGGATTGAAGTCCCTGGAACCAGAAAGTTCAGGCCATATTTTCTTCCACACTTCTTTTGGACAGAACTCTGTAACCTCAGCAAATCCATAAGCAATGTTATCATTAGCATATTTGATGTTTCACAGACATTTGGCCTTTGCCATTAGCATTTTTGATGTTCTACACAAATTTGGCCACTGTATTTAGCATTTTTGATGTTTTACAGAAGCTTGGCACTTGCCATTAGCTTTTTTGATAGTTTTACAGAAATGTGGCCTTTGCCATTAGCTTTTGTAATGTTTTAGAGGAACTGGGCCCTTTGCCATTAGCATTTATGATGCTTTAAAGAAATTTGGGCTTTGCCTTTAGCATCACTGACTGGATCAGAGATGCTGTGGTTGGTGGCAAAAACACAATCAATACACATGTTGTCATTTGCATCAGCAATATATGACAATATATAGATTTTAAACACCAAATTTTGCCTGGGCAGTACCGTCAGGCTACTCTTTTTCTATTTCCAACTGCCAAGTTTTTTTTTTTTACATGAGTAACAATACACACAGGCGTCTGATCTAACTACCCAGAAACCAGGGAAAATTACTAGAAGTCCATGTGACAAAAATCCCAGCCTTCACCGGGGTCTGAACCCGGGACTTTTATAACTTTCTTTTATTTTATTTGCTTGATTTCTTATGCTCCTCAACGTTGACCTGACAATCCTGTAGCTCTGATAATGTCCACAGTGCGCTCATCATTATCACACCTTTTTGTAACTGGTAATTTTTCCTCCTCGGAAGGTCGTGGGTTCGCGTCCTGATGGAGCCTGACTTTTTCCCCCCCTCAAAAATTAAGCTGACTCCCAGTTCGACACAGCCTTAAATAAGTACCAGGTTCAGTCCTGGGAAGTTAAGGCGGTCGGCGTGATGCTGACCACATCACCCACCAAGTGCCCATTGGTCTATAAAAATATAGGTCTAGCCCTGTATTACCAATATGCCTAAAGGCGTGGAGAAAGGGACCTCAAAATTTTTTCCTTTAGTAGTATAGCCTTTCTTTGTTTTTCTTTTTATTTTCCTTTGGAACCATTTTTGTCACAAAAAGGCCTACTTCTTTTTTTTTCCATCGGCATGAAAATGAACGACCTGCATTCTACAACAACACTCCTTCCACACTGATACTGGTAAAATGCGACCAGCTCAAGCGAGCGCCACACAAAGTCATGCCACTACCAACATGGCGACTGCAAAATGTTTCTCACCCTCTCCCTCTCAAATCATGTTATTGCAACAACAAAAAAGTTTAAAGTGCATCCTGTCTAATGAGGGTTATCTGTACAAATATAATACAAGCCTGTTCATATGAAACAGCTTATTAATTACAATAAGGGCAGACATATGATTTACCACTCTGTGGTCCGGAAAAATCTGACGAATATCTCCATTTGCCAGTCTGCAAAGTACTGTCTGACCATCAGCCGATATTTCCTTGAGGGTTCCATTGGGGAACTGAATTTCTTTTGCTCCTGTTTTATATGTCTTCTCAATCTGGAAATAAATTTGCACATGTACTTTTTAATACCACCACATGTGTTTATGTGTGTACATGCATATACACAAAAGGAGCGGAAGGCATACATCCCTGAACAGACGCATGTAATTGCAGCTGCAACTTCACAGCAAATGGATCATCCCACTGTGGATCCATTCCTGTGCCCAAAAAAACCAGAAATAGCACCCATTAAAGTCCCTTCTGGAAAAATAAAAATGGACACAGACTGCAGTCTTAGTAAATCATCTTCTTCTTTTGTTTGCTTGAAATAAATTATCTATATCTGCAATGTTGTCTCTAGTATGAACTTCACTGTTTTTTGTAATTCACTCAGCGACCCGTAAAGTTTGGCTTGCATTGATGTTTCTCTTGGCCAAAAGTTTACTAAATCTAACAGCATACATTCACATTACATGCATACAGCAGCCGTCTGAAGTAAGAAAACAGTCTGACACTAGAATTGCTTTTCATCATCGATGGAAGCAGCAGTTACAACACATCAGTTTACACATGCAATTAATTGCATAAGGCACTACAAGCTCTCAAGTAACAGGCCACAGGCCATTTTCTGAATCTGCAGTTCATAACCCAAACCACAGTGGGCACAGATGCATGTACAAACATATCTTTGAAAAGATTACTGCCATTAATTTTTTTTAAGCTAGAAAGACAAGTGTCTTTACTGCCGGTATTCACCACTTTGAAGGCATTTATAGGACGGGGGAGTCACTGGCTTGGGGATTTCAGGCGGCATGGTTAGTGCAGTCACAATCAACTGTTTAGGGCAGAATTTTCATTTTTGACCTCATCAACATTTCTGCATCCATTACCCGGTTATGTTATGTTATGTTATCACATTCAACGTCTTTACATATTGGTCATCATCATGCATGCTCAGTTCTCATATGCAGCAGCCACTTCAAGATACCTCTACTGATTGTTCCTATAAGTAGTTGGTTATAGTATCTCCTGTCTTTACCTCGAAGACGAGATAGATGAGCTTCACCCAGCTTAACTCCTCAGTCACGCAGTCGTGTTAGCGTCAGAGATTCACCGTTATCCCCTAACCTAGTCTGTACAGCGTTGATGATATCAGCTCTGTTCATGCTTCTTTCCGTTTGTATTGGTGCCTTTCTTGCCAGCTGGTCAGCTCTATCATTTCAATGCACGCCTGCCTGCCAAGGTGTGTAGATCCAGATGATGGAGGTTAACTGCGACTTTTGAATACTTTCTACTCATTCTGAGCATCATCCCTTACCTGGGATCAAACCTGGGTCTCTCCACAGGATAGTCCAGTGCTCTAACCATATGGCCAGAGGCTCCTGGCTGAAACTGTCATTTATAATATTTTTTCTAATTAGACCAAAAGATATAGCATGGGCACTGCTTGGAAGTTTTGCATATAACATTATGGAGTATGGAGATAGAGGCTGTGAAAGCATCTTTCCTATGACTTCTTTGTAACCGACTCACAAGGAATACTTCAGAAAACAGAAACGGGTATATTATGTGCATAGTGTCTTTAACATCTTAACAAAATTGCAAATCAGGAACCACTGCATTTTCTGCCCAGGGTGTGCAGGGGAATGCGCAGGCTGATAGATTGGCTGCTGCTCCTCTGGGCATCCTGCTACTTTATGATAATGCAGACAGACTAGGTGAAAGCTCTCTAAGATCAAGTGCCAAGAACAGTAAAACAGACACAGAAACCATAAATGGAAAGACAGATTCAGCAAGCAGTAAGCAGACAGTCTGATGACATGCCTAGGAGAAAAGACAGGCAGGTTTTTACTCAGAAACATAGAATTACCTGCATTCATTTCTTTTGTCAGACACGCACAAAAATGTGTCCATATATCCATCAACATCATCTTGCCAGCTTTCCCGCCTTGAGTATTTTCCTATTCAAGAAGTTACTTATATCCTGTGCCCATCTTTGTGCTGGTCAGTCCCTGCCTCCTTTTTGTACCTAGCCTTCTGCTATTATTTTTTTTCCAATCTGCTGTGGCCCTCGATGAGACCAAAATATTTCAGCTTCCAAGACAAGATGCTGTTTATTAGCCAATCTTCCTTGATAATCAGATCTTTTAAAATATCAGTACTCCTTCTCTTCTTCGTCCATGGTATTCTGAGAATTTTTCTATAGCATTTCAGCTCAAAAGCCCCTATTTTCTTTATCAAGGACTGAGAGGTAGTCCACAACTCACATCAGTAAGATGCATGCTCTTAAAATTTTAATTTTGATTTTCATGTGGGACGAACTGAAGTCATAACGACATCTAAAAACAGCATTCTTTTCAAACCCCCTGACCCCCAAAACACACTTAAATGCAATTTTCTTGATTACATTAATAATCTAGTAATCTGGTTATCTTAGTAATCTTAGTTTCAGCTTTATAGCAAATGGTTTGCCCCATAGTGGCTCCTGTGCCAGTGAAAAACACACAGAATGTTAATCACAGTCTCTTGTGGAAAGATTGACAGACTGCTGTCTCAGCATATGCACTAGCATACACAGGCATTAAAAGCATATGGTAGTCGTCCGAAGTGCTAACACAAACAGTCCGACATTAGAAAAGCAGTTCATCATGGGTGGTAGCAGAAGTCACCAACAGATCAGCAGTTACACACACGATTAATTTTAATCACATAATGGCATCACTAATATTGCGACAACAGGCATTGCGCTATTTTCTGAATCTTTTCACACCACCACGTTGGTCACAGTCGAAAAACATTTCAAATTAAATCTGCAGCTCACAGTGTCACGCCATGCACTCAACTCAGAAGCTGAGCGATGAAACTATACCCTTTCAGTCTACAAATGGAGCAAATATGCAACGACCGCCGTCTGGCAGAAGCAAAAAATTTGCCACTGCTCAAAAAAGTGGCCCTGCCCAGCGTCCATTTTGATACCCCACCCATGTACACACACCCTGCAATCACAAACATTACCAAAGTTTTTATACAGGTGAAGGGGCAACTGACCAAAGCAGTAATGCTAAGGAAAAAAAAAAAAAAAAAACAGAAGCTGCAGAACCAGCATTTACAGCACAAGATTTAAGAAACATTACCTTTCCATCCTGATGCCTGGTTTCCGTATACGCTGTTACGTCCCCTTTATCCACCGCAGCATGCTCCATAGCCAAGATGGCTGCAGACTTGCCACTTGGGGTCACAGAAGATGCAAGAGATCCTGGCATAGCCGACACTTGAGTAGCAACTGGCAGACTGCTGAAAGTATTCAATAATTTTATAATACTAGTTACTTGTTACTGAGAAATCAGTGTGATCCTTTCATCCTAATGGTCATCTGTTACTGAGAAATCAGTGTGATCCTTTCATCCTAATGGTCATCTGTTACTGAGAAATCTGTCTGATCCTTTCATTCTAATGGTCATCTGTTACTGAGAAATCTGTCTGATCCTTTCATCCTAATGGTCATCTGTTACTGAGAAATCAGTGTGATCCTTTCATCCTAATGGTCATCTGTTACTGAGAAATCAGTGTGATCCTTTCATCCTAATGGTCATCTGTTACTGAGAAATCAGTGTGATCCTTTCATCCTAATGGTCATCTGTTACTGAGAAATCAGTGTGATCCTTTCATCCTAATGGTCATCTGTTACTGAGAAATCAGTGTGATCCTTTCATCCTAATGGTCATCTGTTACTGAGAAATCAGTGTGATCCTTTCATCCTAATGGTCATCTGTTACTGAGAAATCAGTGTGATCCTTTCATTCTAATGGTCATCTGTTACTGAGAAATCTGTGTGATCCTTTCATCCTAATGGTCATCTGTTACTGAGAAATCAGTGTGATCCTTTCATCCTAATGGTCATCTGTTACTGAGAAATCAGTGTGATCCTTTCATCCTAATGGTCATCTGTTACTGAGAAATCAGTGTGATCCTTTCATCCTAATGGTCATCTGTTACTGAGAAATCAGTGTGATCCTTTCATCCTAATGGTCATCTGTTACTGAGAAATCAGTGTGATCCTTTCATCCTAATGGTCATCTGTTACTGAGAAATCAGTGTGATCCTTTCATCCTAATGGTCATCTGGTACTGAGAAATCAGTGTGATCCTTTCATCCTAATGGTCATCTGTTACTGAGAAATCTGTCTGATCCTTTCATCCTAATGGTCATCTGTTACTGAGAAATCAGTGTGATCCTTTCATCCTAATGGTCATCTGTTACTGAGAAATCAGTGTGATCCTTTCATCCTAATGGTCATCTGTTACTGAGAAATCAGTGTGATCCTTTCATCCTAATGGTCATCTGTTACTGAGAAATCAGTGTGATCTTTTCATCCTAATGGTCATCTGTTACTGAGAAATCAGTGTGATCCTTTCATCCTAATGGTCATCTGTTACTGAGAAATCAGTGTGATCCTTTCATCCTAATGGTCATCTGTTACTGAGAAATCAGTGTGATCCTTTCATCCTAATGGTCATCTGTTACTGAGAAATCAGTGTGATCCTTTCATCCTAATGGTCATCTGTTACTGAGAAATCAGTGTGATCCTTTCATCCTAATGGTCATCTGTTACTGAGAAATCAGTGTGATCCTTTCATCCTAATGGTCATCTGTTACTGAGAAATCAGTGTGATCCTTTCATCCTAATGGTCATCTGTTACTGAGAAATCAGTGTGATCCTTTCATCCTAATGGTCATCTGTTACTGAGAAATCAGTGTGATCCTTTTATCCTAATGGTCATCTGTTACTGAGAAATCTGTCTGATCCTTTCATCCTAATGGTCATCTGTTACTGAGAAATCAGTGTGATCCTTTCATCCTAATGGTCATCTGTTACTGAGAAATCTGTCTGATCCTTTCATCCTAATGGTCATCTGTTACTGAGAAATCAGTGTGATCCTTTCATCCTAATGGTCATCTGTTACTGAGAAATCAGTGTGATCCTTTCATCCTAATGGTCATCTGTTACTGAGAAATCAGTGTGATCCTTTCATCCTAATGGTCATCTGTTACTGAGAAATCAGTGTGATCTTTTCATCCTAATGGTTATCTGTTACTGAGAAATCAGTGTGATCCTTTTATCCTAACGGTATTCATTAATATTATAATACTAGTTACTTGTTACTGAGAAATCTGTCTGATCCTTTTAGCCTAAAAGTAATCTGTTACTGAGAATCGGTGTGATCCTTTTATCATGCTGGCTATTTTAAACTGAGAAATCAGTGTGATACTTTTATACTAAAGGTTAACTGTTACTCAGACATCTCTCATCATGCTAATTATCTGTTAAGGAAACATCTGTGTGATCCTTTTATCCTGCTGGTTATGTGCTAATGCGTCATCAGTGCGCTTATTTTCTCGTACAGGTTGTGTGCTAATGGGTCATCTGTGCGATCATTTTCTCGTACTGGTTGTGTGCAAATGCGTCATCTGTGTGATCCTTTTATCGTATTGGTTATTTGTTAAATGATGCATCTGTGTGAATGCAGATTCTTTCTGATGAGGGTAATGAGTTCTTTCATGAGTTAGTTTCTTTCAAGACATATTCATTACTCTTGTTATCTGTCCTTAACATTCATCTATAAAACTTCATCTCTACAGTTTCAACATTATTTTTCACTTATCAGCTGAATGTCCATGAGCTACTTCTGTATATCAGGAATAGCTCTTATAAAGCCCTTAAGAACTCTTTTCTCAACTCAGCTAAGATATTTTACACAGAATATTCATCATTTTGTCAAATACTGGCATATTTTCTTTGTAATTAAAATTACTTCTGTTTTTATGCTGTTCAAACTAAGACTTATTTTGACTTTTTGTTACAATTATGTCCATTATTTCTAATAGTTGTATTTAATTTTCAATTATCAACACTATATCATTAACATATTGCTTGTATGGATCTCAGTATTGTTTCACTGTACAACCTGATCAGACCAGGTGATGGTACATATCCCTGTTTAACCCCCTGAGTAAAAATTGTGGTCACAAACAGAAGACCTGTCATTTAGCAATTATTGAAAACAAATGAATAAAGGAAGCATAACTTACGTTTCCATCATTGTTGGAACAGAGTTATTCTGTATACCCTCCCCTGACAAGTTTGCAAGGGCAGGTGGCGCTACATGCTTTGACCCAGAGGACTTTGAGACCGATGTTATAACTCCATTCTGTGGACCAGTTAGTGTTTTATGAGTGGGGTTACTGCGGATGCCAAGCTTGCCATTCTTAGTCATGTTGCCAGTTGCTGGTGTATGAGATGGTACAGCTGGTCTCAGATCCCCAGTGTTGGCTCCTAAAGATAAAACACAGTTTGAATACAAAACACAGCCAGTGGAATCATTCATCAATTACTACTGTATATACCTAAAGGAGACACTTCTCTACCATGTCTGCCCGCTGGTCAAGGGTTCAAATCTGCATCAAGGTGAAAATACTTTTCTAGGTCACTTCATTCCTTTCAAGGCACGAAAAGGGATCTTTACTTTACTTCATTCCTTCATTCACACTCCTGTTTTGCCATTATATGTCACATAGGGCTTGCAGTCTACTCCTCTATTCTCCTCTATTCCCTTCTATCCTTCTATTCTTCTATTCCCTTCTATGTATGTACATTTGTGGGTGTGAATGTGTGTTTAAGTGAGTGTGTAGGCGCGTGTATGTGTGTTTGTGTGCGCTAGAGTGTGCATGCATTTTACAACCCATGCTTTTGAGTTCTTTTATGATATTCATAATATGCATTTGATCATTTGATCATAACATGCTTTAGTAAAATACAACTGCTGCGCAAAAGACGGGCGTTTGGAAGGGCCGAATGTAAGACGGGCATGCGTGCCCAACCAATTTGTGATCCTTTTCAAATAAAGTTTGTTCATTCTATCCTGTGCAGTGATTTCAATATCATTGATGGAATCCAGTTCAGCAGCTTTGGCTTCTCAAAAGGGTTTCTCTTAGACGCAGACATTTCATCAATCCCTTAGTTTTTCCGTTTTAGTGCCTGTCTGGTGATTCTCTGCTTATAGGGAGCTGCGTGGTCTCGAGGCACGGTGTCCGCCTCAGATGCCCGTGTGCATTGTTGCACACACAAAAAATCGCTTGGTGGTTAAATCTAAAAGTGTAGACTAACGGCGCTGCCCGGACAAAATTTGGAGTTAAAAATCTGCCCAAAGTATTTTTCAGGGTCCTTGCCGGTGCTTCAGAGTCTGTGCACTGTGCTGAGCTTCGTCGGACTCATACTTGAGTTAGAAGAAGAACAGAGCACTTATGGGTTACTACCCCTGTGTGCCATGATGTTTGATCCGTTGTTCAAACCTCTCCGCTCATGTGTCCAGTATAGTGCCACCTACTACGTTTTGAACTGCTGACACTAGTGGTTGCCCAGACATTTCTATTATTTCTTCGCCATTCCCGAATTCATCCCACTCTCTGTTCATCATATTCCTCAGGTTTTTGTTTTCGAACGCATCAAACTTTCATTCCACGCCTTTTCTAGGTCAGCTGAATTTAAAATGGATACCAGGATGATATGTCCTGGAAAGTGAAGATGGGTGCGGTGTGGTACTGACCATAACACCCGTCAGTCTATACAAATACAGGCTAACATAATTTATCAAGACGCCATATCCCATACACCATATCCCATATGTCATACATCATATGCGCGAGAAGGGTCGCTATTTTTCACACCAAGTCAATGTGCACTTCTTCTTCTTGTGGTGGCTCTGATTTACACCTAGAGATTAGTTATCACAATAAAACTGACTGTGTGATGAGTTCTCATACAACTACAAGTAACTGTGCTAACTCACTGGGCAAGTATTCCCTTCTTAATAGGCTGTACAAGGGACATTCTTGCAGGACTTATTCTGCAGTTTGCACAGATAGCCCACATTGGCAAAACGGTGAACTATTTAGACAAAGCCAGTGTATACGCTTGTTGCTATGCCATGTTCTGAGGCATAGAATGATGACCTGTCCACTCCGGTTCAAGTAAGTAGTAGAATGTGTGCTTATTGACCCCTTTTTTTTTCTATGCCAGTGGCAAATCAAAAACTTATTGTGCTATACCCATAATTCTGATAAACCTATTGATTAATCTGTTGCCTCAGAGACGCTACCTAAAGGTTTACCACAGCATCTTAAGATTTTAAAATCTCAATCTGGATGGCAGACTTCCAAAGCAGATCCCAGATACCCCCCTTCAACCTCCATAAGAACTTACAAGTAGAACCTGTAACAACTATACCAACCATGGGTAACCTGCAGTCCAATGCAGGGAAAAGACCTACAGACTTATCGGCACTTAATGGGTGATGTGGTCACCACCCTGACGGCCATTTTGACTTCCTGTAAGATGCCCAGCAACCCATTTTAGGCTGGTGTGACTTGAGAGCCAAAGTCAATTATATAAAATCTGCCTTGATGTTTGAATGCAGTCCTTCAGGTTGGCAGTCAAGAATTTGCTACAGGAATTAAGAAAGAAATAAGATACCATATTTTTTTCAGGTATAAGCCGATATGTTTTTCTAAATTTCTTTAAGCTTAAAATTAGGATCATCTCATATATGGAATGTTCTCCCCTTTGAGTTCTGTGGCCCCATTGTAGCGGGCAAAAAAATAAACCCTTCCCCAACAAGCATGTCATAAAAGTCGACTAATTAGGGATGTTTCCTTGAGAAAGTCAGAGTGCATCTGCTTGAGTGGCAAGAATAAACAGTCTGCAAATAATTAAGCAAGATCTCTAAAACAGATGTGCACAACAAAATCAAACCAAACAAAACTCACATTCTGGAACAAGACTGAAGTCAAGAAGTAGACAAATAACCAGAACTTTCTGCTGGGAGTCTACAGTTGGGGAAAGCAAAGACATGCACCAAAAACCTTACAAGACAATGTCATGCTTATAGTAATTCCCGTCACACTTTGAAGAATTTCATTAAGACAGGTTCACAGACGACAAGCTGCAGCAGCTGGTAACAGAACAGACCTGATGAGATGCCTTCCTTCGAGCCCAATGAGCTGCAAACTTTGACCTTCTCCACTTCTGCAGTCGGAGTACTGCTTCTGACATGTGCTGGTAATGCCTGAAAGAAATAAAATCAATGAACGAATGAAATAAATCGTATGGTTATGATGGCAAGTTGTAAAAGAGAATAAGTTATGAGTTAAGAACTGACATGATAGCATTCGTGACAATCCCATAAGTGCTTTGTCCCAATTTTTCAGAAGCAAGTGCAGAGTTCCAATTCTGATGGTACTAGTAACAGATTGATTGTATGTCTGTCTCATCTCTTCCCTGAGTGTTCAACATCGGCCAGAAAATGAGAATACAAATTTGCAATGTCAGTGTCAAACTCAGAACAACGAATCAGAACATCAACATATAGCTTAGAACAACAACAAATAAAAATGCTCATATAAACAGTCTTGGCTCTGGTTTAGTAGTGCAACAGTCTTGGATCTGGTTATTTAGTGCAACAGTCTTGGCTCTGGTTATTTAGTGCAACAGTCTTAGATCTGGTTATTTAGTGCAACAGTCTTAGATCTGGTTTAGTAGTGCAACAGTCTTGGCTCTGGTTATTTAGTGCAACAGTCTTGGCTCTGGTTATTTAGTGCAACAGTCTTGGCTCTGGTTATTTAGTGCAACAGTCTTGGCTCTGGTTTATTAATGCAACAAGTCTTGGCTCTGGTTTATTAGTGCAACAGTCTGGCTCTGGTTTATTAGTGCAACAGTCTTGGCTCTGGTTTATTAGTGCAACAGTCTTGGCTCTGGTTTATTAGTGCAACAGTCTTGGCTCTGGTTTATTAGTGCAACAGTCTTGGCTCTGGTTTATTAGTGCAACAAGTCTTGGCTCTGGTTTATTAATGCAACAAGTCTTGGCTCTGGTTTATTAGTCTAACAGTTTTAGCTCTTGTGTATCAATACAACAGTCCTGGCTCTGGTTTAGTAGTGCAACAGTCTTGGATCTGGTTATTTAGTGCAACAGTCTTGGTGCTGGTATATCAGTACAAAAGTCTTGGCTCTGATTTTTTAAGTGCAACAGTCTTGGTGTTGGTGTATCAGTGCAACAGTCTCAACACCAAAAAGACTTCCATGAAGAACAGTGTACACAAATAGCAGCTGACAACTTTATCTCACAATAAAGAATGAAACTTGGCAAACATGAGAAATTATCACTCCATACCCACAGAATGGCCTCTCTCTTAGGACTGACTAACTAGCCTTACTAAGCCTGTCACACATATCACCGGGATGGGTGGGGGTGGGGTGGATCTCCGTGGTGAGGTGGTCAAGCTGTTTCTCTCAAGCTCTGAAGGTCACTGGTTTGTTTCATGGCTGCGTCATTCTGTTCCCAAGGGAAATAATTTAACGCCAGAACTATGCAGTTCATGCTTCGTGTGACGTTCTTAGCAGGTAGCTGGCTGTTCTGCAGGGAGATAGACAGTCATCTGGGTTAAAACCCAGTGCAATGAAGTCTATCATCTCATCTTTGACCTTTAACAGACACCATTCATCTTTAACCTTTAACAAACACCACTCACCTTTAACTAACAAGCCTCACCTTTAACTAACACTACTCACCTTTAACCTTAACTAACACCACTCACCTTTAACTAACACCACTCCCCTTTAACAAACACCACTCACCTTTAACAAACAACACTACCTTTAACCTTTAACAAACATCTCTCACCTTTAACAAACACCATTTACCTTTAACAAACACCACTTACCAAGCCAAGTTTACCTACCTGTTTGGTAGCTCCATTAGATCTGCTACCACCACTTTCTCCAGAAGCCGTTCTTCCATTGCTCTGAACCACTGTTTTAACACTGGACTGAGCCATCATCCATTCCAGCCTTTTTTTCTCCAGGATTCGTATCTCCTCTCTGAGCTCCCCATTCTCCATTTCCAGCTCTGCTATCCTGTTCTTCAGCCTGGCAGTGCTGGCATTCCATCTGCTCTCCTTGTGTTTCAGTTCATCTTGAAGCTCCTGAAGCTGGAGAAAATAGTATTACGTGTTATTTTTTTTTTTAAAAAAAAAAAAGAATGGGAAGCTGCCGTGGTGAAGCGGCTAGATGCTCGCCTGCAGATCGGAAGGTCATGTGTTTATATTCTGACAGTACCTGACCCTTTTTTCTCTTTAAATGACCTCGGCTCCCAGGTCGACCTAGCCTTGGATGGGCACCAGGTGGAGCCCTGGGAAGTGAAGATAGCCAATGTGAGGCTGTCTACATCTCCCACCTAGTGTCCAGCCAAAAATGATCAAAAAATTATAGACATTTTTTTTTCCTGGCTTGCAAGAATGGTGTAAAATTACGTTATAATCTGGCCAATGAGCTCACAAAATAGAAAAAAAAAATATTTGTAGAATGAAGAAATCAAAACATCAACATTTAAAAAAAAGTGATAACCTAAACAGTGACAACCAAAAAAATTGATGTCACCAAATCTTTGATCCTGCTAGTAAAGCCTGTGTTGCCGACGAACTCAAGACATTAGCCAGTTTTGGCCCGTGGGCCAGTTATCCCATCCCTGAACTAAAGTAACCTTTCTGATACAACGAATTAATGTAAGAGCTGTCAGCGATTTGAAACACACACAGACTGTTAACAGAAAATCAAGAGAACAGCTTAAGAAAGCGACGTCAAGATTTTCTTATCTCAATATTCAAGCAACTAATGCAGGGACTTCTTGAAAATGTAGTTCACTCTTTTCTGTTAGCAACATAATTCAGGGCTGTAGGAGTGACCATAAGAGATAAGATCAGGAATGAGATCATAAGAGAAAAAGTCGGCACAGAACCAATTCTGGATTACATACAAAGACAGCAAGTGAAATGGTTTGCCCACTTAGAGAGAATGCCTTGTGACGCCATACCATACAAAGCATCCATGGAAAGAGAAGAAGGACGTAGAGCAAGAGGTAGACCAAGAACAAGATGGAAGGATAACATCAGAGAAACTCTACAACAACATGATGTGACTATGGTCGAGGCAGCCAGAAGAGCTAGAAACAGAACCTTATATCTCCCTCGACACCCACAGCGGTAAAAGAGGAAGTGAAGAAGAAGAAGAAGAACATAAATTCAACCAGTAAAAGACAAACCTAAATATTGTAAAGTTATGAAATTTGTAGGGGCTACTGATAATAGTGTGGCGGAAGCAGAATATCAGTTAACCAAAATAAATGTGACTTAAATGAAGTTGCAACTGGTGCTATTAGCCTGTTGGCGCTTTGTTGTCTACTGAAGAAGGAGAAGGAGCATGTGTGGGGATGTCCTGAGTACAGTGATGTCAATTCTTGATTCAGTCATTCTATGTAATTTCTTACTGATTTCATCTGGATGTTTTTGTGTGGATGTTTCACCTGTACAATCTAGATATTTCTAGGTATTGTTTCATTTTTAGATGTTTTCTTTCAACAACAAAGAGTGACAACTATGCTTGTGTCTCTGTCCTCTTTTGGTATGCACCTTGCATGGTGTAACACCAGCACAACTATACATTTTTAAATACATTTTTTTCTTCTCCAGAGTTATCAATGCCCAGATAGGTAACAGTGTTCACTGTGCCTCTGACCTTCGAGTTCATGACATTTAAAAATCAATAAAAGTAACGAACAATTCTGACACAAGAAACAAAGCTACAAAAAAGATTTAAGCATTTCTAAAACACAGCTGCAAGAAATGATGGATATAATTTGTAACAGAAAGTGAAAACAAAGGTCTTAGTTTGGACAGCAGAAAAACAGAAGTAACGGTAATTACAAAGAAAACTGATCCTCCAAAATGCAACTTCAAAGTAAATGAGACAAAACTCAAGCAAGTTGATATGTTTAAGTACTTGGGTACCCTGATATCAACAGAGCAGCATTTTACAAAAAAAAAAGAATATTTTATGCAATCTTTCTTTGTCAGTTGAGACAACAATAAGAATTCTTAAAAGCTATATAAATTTTATACTGATATACGGATGTGAATCATGGTAAACTTAGTAAATTTTTGAAAACTTACTTGGAAGCTGCGGAGATATGGTTGTATAGATGAATAATGAGAATACCCTGGACAGATAATAAGAGTAACGAAGACGTCTTGAAAGAAACTGACTCACAAAAAGAGAACTGATTGCCCACATCAGAAAAAAACAATCTACATTCTTTGGTCATGTGGTGAGAAGAAGAAAACTGGAGTACCTCGAGTCGCTAGGAAAGTTGGAGGGGAGGAGAGGCAGAGGGAGACCGAGAGAACAGATGCTGGACAGTCTGATATCATGGCATGGAAGATCATCTGTGTCAGAGCTGACTGAAAGTACACGAGACAGAAGGCTGTGGATAGACATGACTACCGACGCCACATGGTATGGACTTTACGAAGAAAACATGGAATTGCTCCATTCTGTAAGGTCAGTAATTTTTTTTTTTATTTCCATTTAAATGACTACTTTACCAGCAATGAATTGATACCTGAGTCTTTAAGGCATCTATTTCCTCCCTGTCCCTCTTGTCTGGCATGGAGCGAATTTTCTTCTGATAGTTGTCAAACAGTTTTCGTTCTCTTCTGAATGTTTTTAAAAGAGAAAATAAAAATAGTATATGTAACCGATGTATTGGGAGCTAAATTAACAAAAAATAACTATAATCCTTACATGATTTTTCTTCTTTGTACTTCATAAATATATTTTTTTTTAAACTATAATCATCACTTGAGTTTCTACTTTGTATTTAATAAATGCATAAACAAAGAAAAACTAATCCTTACTTAAGTTTGTACTTCATAAATGCATTTTTTTTAAAAACCACTATAATCCTTACTTGAGTTTCTTTACTTCCTCTGTTTTAAATTCCTCCAGTCGTCTGAGTTCATCTTCTTTCTGTCTCTGAAAGCTGTCTATCTCCTGCTTCAGTTTGGCCAGGCCCTGAAAGCAATTATTGTAAACAAAAGGTGTGAACTTAATAAATCATAACCACAACCTATAAGTACTGAACAGGATATCATTGACTGAATTACTACTAAAACCATGACAAATACAAATGAAAAAAAAAATGATGCTTTTGCCTTCTCTGCATTCTGCAAAATGACAATCTATTTGGGAATATAAACTATTTTAATTACCTTCATTAATCTACATGAGAGGTGGGGAACCAACAGTCTGCACACAAATAAACCAAATCTGAAATATGGATGTGCATGTAAAACTCACATTCTGAAATAAGGCTAAAGTCCAGAAGTGGACGAACAACCAGAACTAAAAGTTAGAAAAGGGAAATTCAAGATCAAAGTGGGATGTAGAGTTTGAGGTAAACCAAAAATAAGGTGGAAAGTAACACCACAGAAACACTGCAACAGTATCAAATGTCTATCACTTAGGTGGTAATATAAGAAGTGAACAAAAAGGAGAGGTGCTTTATTAATATTCTATCCCAAACAGGGGAAATCCACAGGTCACGGGACAGTCTAATATTTCAGGGGGTGGTAGATAGGCTGCATACAGTCGTGGGACCTAGGCTGCACTCTCTCGTGATATGTAGGTAGGTTGGGGTTGGGACCAGTTCTAGATGTTTTGGGGTCATTAAAAGCATAAGAAAGCCAGGAAACCCAGTCTTACCACCCTCTAATATGTTGGACTGTTCTATGTCATCTGGGGTAGGATATTAATAAAGAACCAAAGAAGAAGATTAAATCAATATCGTTAGTTAGCTAGTCAAAAAAAATTATCCTCAGTGTACATCAAACCATTCAGTCCTTATGTCCCCGGATCCTCTTCTTAATAAATCCTGCACCTGTGTTGGTTTCTTTTTCTTCTATGACTTCCTGCTTAGTGCTCTTGTCTGGCCACAACCCTTTTAACATGTTGTTCTTTCAATCTGGTCATTTTTGCAGATTCACAGTCAGCACATAGATAACGTCGAAAACAGGCAAGTAAAATGTGACCAAAAATGTTGACCCCCCCAAAAAAAAAAAAAAAAGAGAAGATTCAACAATTCAGTTTAAAAAAAAAATTAAACAAACAAAAAGGAGAGGTTAGTGGTGTTTAACAGAAACATTAAGTTTATACCTCTTCTCTCTCCCTTCTTAGCATATCTAAGTTAGCATTCTCAGAACGGAACTTCTCTATCTCTGCATCCAGTTTCATCAGTTTCTCTCTCAAACTCTGAGACTGTAAACTGTGGGACATCTCTAGAGGCTGTGCTGAAGCTTGCTGCAAGGCTGGGTTTCCCTGCGGAGGAAAACAAGTTACTTTTCTGTTTGGATAACATTCAATAATCTCTCAGATGCCCATTTTTTCAGTCTCAAGTCACATGTGATGTGTGATTCTGTATTGTCTTTACATCTCAGCCACTGCATAATGTGTTACATTTTGATTTTACATTTGGTCATAGTATATGTGAGAAATCTGCCTTTCCTAGTGGCCACTTAAACTGTGTATTCAGGTTCTTTCAAAGTAAGAGCAGTTGAGACATTTCATAGGCTTTTTTTTTACCCATTTGGGTATCTGCTGAGGACGAAAGTTTAAATAAAAAATCAGGGGCCCTCTTCCATGCCCTATCTGCCTAAGAGGTGAGGAAACAACAATGTGCATACAAATAAGCCAGATATGTAAAACAGACGTGCATATAAACACAAGTTCTGGAACAAGACTGTAGTCCAGAAGTGGACAAACAACCAGAACTTTCTGCTGGAGTTTACAGCTGGTGAATGAGAAGAAGACTTTAATGCCTCAAAGAGAAACAGGCTTTTGGTCTGCTTCTTCTTTACCCTTTCAACACCCCAAAGGAGCATAGGCCCTTAACCAACTCAAGCCAAGTCGTCCTATCGTTTGCTATTGCAGGCAGGTCACACTATGCCCTCCATATCTTATCAACTTTACTCTCTAGCTCCCTTCTCTGTTTTTTTTTTTTTATGTCTTTATTTCTATGCCTCTGTGAGTTCCAGTGCAAAGACATCCATTACTGTTCTTGGATTTTCTCAGTGTGTGTCCTATCCAACACCAGCATCTTTTCTTCATTTCTTGATTCACTAGAATGTTATTTCTGTCCCAAAGCTCAACATTGGTGATTCTGTCATACCATTTATCTCCCTCTATTATGTGCAGGCAGCGGCGTCCGTGGCTAAGGCGTTGCGAGTCCGACTCGTGAGCCAGCATACCGTGATCGAAACCCACTGCAGGTTGCGTGGATTTTTGTCGTGGTATGGGACGTCGCAGGTCGACCCAGCCTAAAATGGGTACCAGGATGGGCTCTGTCCTGGGAAAGTAAAGACAGCCGGCGTAATGCTGACCACATTACCCACAGAGTGCTGATGGTCTCTAAAAATATGGGACGCTCTGCCCATATGCCCGATGCGCCGAAAGGCGTGAAAAGGGATCTTTACTTTTTTTTTTTTTTAAATGTGCAGGCACCAGTTAATAAGTGTAGTTTATGAGTAACTGATCTAGTTGTTCTCCATATGGTCTCAGCTTTGTAGTTTTAGAGATGAATCAGTACTTTGTGAGCAATATGACCAATATTACCCTCCTACCTTTACTTCACAGGATTGTTTATGAACCCATTTTAGACTAAGTCAACCTAGAAGCCTATGTAATTTTATTTTATTTTAAACCACCCTAATGGGTATTTGAACCTAAGTTCTCCAGACCAGCAGTGAAACGAGATTTGTTTTAACACCGTTTCTGTTAAGAAAGACTAAACCTAGTCCCTTCTGGTTGTGACACAGTCAAATAAACGCTAATATACCAGCCTGTCTACAATGACTTGTTCTCAGAAAGTGCAGTTAAATTCCACTGGTTCTATGTGCACCTGTGCAGTGTTTGATAGATTTGCTGACCGGGTAAGCCTGGCCGGTTCTATCTTAAAGTAGTAAACATTTCTACGATAGAGACAGACATGAGCAAGCACAGATATGATCCTATTTGTCTGCATAACTGCAAGACAGAAACAGACCTGTAGCACAGACAGACATAACACTGATGTTTCACCTTTTCAACCTCAATACTTGGCTTAGGCTTCAACTTGGGGAAAAGCTTCGACATGAGTTTTGACGCAGGTGGTGAGGAAATATTCGCTGTTGTGACAGATGCTGCCGGCCCATTAACTAAAAGAAGAGTTTGAATATATATTCATTATTGCATTAAATCACTCTTCTGTTTCTATCTCTTAGCTTTTCGTCGAGTTTAAGCCCTCAACCATTGCAAAGTAAACAATTTTAATCATGGGGAGACTGGAAGAAATGATGTCAGTCATATAGAATCTATCAATCTATATCTTCTTCATATTGCACTGACATAGGACAAATATTGCTGCCAGTAAAAAAAGAAAGTAAAGATCCCTTTTCACGCCTTTCGGCACATCGGGCATATGGGCAGAGCGTCCCATATTTTTACAGACCATCAGCACTCTGTGGGTAATGTGGTCAGCATTATTGCTGCCAGTCTGTGGCCTTTCTACAAGGGTATCCCATGTCATTTTACATTGCTTCATTTCCATTTCTACTATCCTTCTCCAGGTTTCCTTACTGTCCACATCTTTTCACATCTGCTGTCCACTGGAGAGCTGTCCTTGCAACAACAACAACAAAAACAGGCATTCTGCAAACATGTTAAAGCACCTCCACCTTCTTCTTTTGTTATCATTTACAGGGGTTGTGATCTTGTTTGGCCAAAATATCTGTAGGATTCTTGTTAGACATTTATTGTGAAAAGACTCATTTAAAAGCATATACCACTGTCATTCTCCAGCACTGTCCCAGTGTGGATTCCGGGGTCCCTCTCCAGGGCCCCCTAAAAAGCACAGACCAACTGCCACCCAAGCAAACATGTTGTAAAAGGTCACTAAATTAGGTTCAATTGTTCATTTAAAGGTCACCTTCATCGCACATCAGACATGACCATAAGTGCTCCGATCGTTTTCTGAGTGTGTCTCCGAGTGTTTTTAAGCTATCAACTCCCACTCTGTTCTGGTTGATGTAACAACGAGTAGCTCCCGCATGGTTCTACTGTCTCGCTGCTCCAGCTGGTAGACCCAAGCTGTGCAGTCTGTTCAGTGAAAAATCATTTGCAGACTAAACTCGGTGTCTGCTGAAATCAGATGTGTTGGACCCAAGGGTGCAATTATTGCAGCCTATCCTTAAACCTCCAGAAAGCAATAGCAAACTATTGGATGCAAATTTGCCTAAAGAAACCACACAACAGCCAGGGACTGCTGGGGTTGGTTCTGCAACGTCCTGTAAAGGATACGCAACTAACCTTTTATTCTTAAACCACAATGGGCCAACTGCCCTTGTAATGGCGAACACAGAAGAAGATGTTCCAAAAATCATGGCTGTATCACACAGAACAGAAATGCAAAAAATTTGAGTCAATCTCAAAAATCTTGGTGGTGATTATACAATCTCTTTTCCTCTGCTGAGCTTCCTAGACATTGTTGTATGGTGTTAATTTACTTGATTTTTGCCTTTCCCCGAGTGGATTCTGGGACCCAACTGTAGAGGGTTAAAAGGAAGACGCACTGGCTCTGTAACAAGCATGTCAGGAGTGTCGATTACTTAGGGGTTTTCCTTCAAGGTCAAAGTGCATTTGCCTGAGAGGTGAGGAACCAACAGGCTGCATACAAATAAACCACATCGGTAAAACGGATGTGCAAGAAAACTCAAGTTCTGAAACAAGACTAAAGTATAGAAGTGGACAAACAACCAGAACTGTCCACCTGAGTTTATAGCCGGTGACCGCAAAAAGGAAAAGGTAATCAACTTAACTCAGGTCACCAATATTTCTGATATCATTTTGAAATTTCACACTCGATACTACCAAAGAAAATGTGCATCATCATCAGCATGTGGCCATGCCAACAGGTATAGCAGTCATGTTTCACCGTCTCATACGATCACTAGAATCACACTAGAATCTTGTTTTGACCCACGCGTATGATCAAGCCATCACAGCATTTATCTCTTTACCTTTCACTTTCTAACAAACAATTCTGACTAAGTCATATTTGTTTTTTCTCTCATGAGCCACATTTTATATGCAAATAACAAAAACAGATTCTATATAGCACTGTAACACTTTCTCACTGCAAATACAATTTTTTTTTTAATTGGTGAGCATCATTTGCATGCACGACACATAATACACACGTAATACTTACTTTTCAAACATGTTCTGTCCTGCCCAGTTTGATTTTCATCATCATCTTCTTCAGTCCATGAGTTTTCATCATCAAAACATACCGAAGATGCCGCAGGAAGTGCTGTTTCTGCATTCTTTGACACACTTGTGACCCCGAGCAGTTCTTGATTTGAAGCTGCACTACCTCCAACCTTTGAACTTTCTGCCCCTGCTGCAAACGTGACCTTATCTACCTCATTATAGTCATCTTCACTCTCATCACTCCTATCACTTCCAGAATGTACCTCGCCAGAAGAAGACTCGTGCTGAAAACTATCATCTAATTTTGTTGAAACTGCTGCTGTTACCCTTTTGGCATCACTGCTTGAGTTTTTATAGTTTAAATTGCTGGCACTTCCCGAGGAAGACATATGTGACAGCAGTGGTTTTGATTCTAGCCACTTCATTTGATTAAACATCTGAGAAGACGGTACCCCACTGCCAAAGACAGCAGGTGCAGACGTGACCTTGAAATCAACAGGTACATTACTATTCCCAGAAAACCCAGACTGAGCTGAAGAATAATTATCCGCTTGCTGAATGCTGTGGTGGTTTTCTAAACTGTCTGATGATAATATTCTTTGCTGATTTGATGCAGATGAAGCAGGAGCTGTGAAGATTGGTCCAGGCTTGGTTGCTGAATTCATGCTTGTGCTGCTGCTTACAGCAGAAGCTCCTGCAGTGAGAATACCTGCCTGCACTGACAGTGACTTCAGCATGGCCAATGTGTCATTTGCTGCAGCAAACTTTGCCATCATAGGAGCCACCTTTCTAGTCATCACTTTAGTTGGAGACAATGGTGGCTCGGAATTGGAGGCTGAATCACCATTCACAACAAAACCATTCCATAGTGTTGCCTCACCACTTCTGGTATAGCTGCTTCGGCCAGCATTGTCTTCTTCAGCACTTGAATCTGTTAAAGTTGCATCAGATAAGTCAGAGCTGGCCTCTGTTGGCTGAACATTGCTGTGGTTGTTTCTGTTGTAGTTATCCTTCACATTGTGAGTTGTGCCTCCAGCTGTAGCAAAACCATTTGAAGAATTTTCGTCCTCTTTGCTGTGTGCTGTTGATTGGACATTGCTGCTGTTGTTTCTATTGTAGTTATCATTAAAACTGTGAGCTGTGCCCACAGCAATGGCTGGATTTTTTGAAGAACCATTGTTCTCCTTGCCACTGACTGTTGACTGACTAGTGACAGGTCTGGCAAGGTTTGTGTTATCAGCACATCTGTTATCTACGATTTTCTTAAGCCTGTTAATGACTTCCTGTTCAAACAAAAGAACAAAATTAATGTTTATGTAATTATACTCATATCTTCAAAGCAAATGATTAGTTTAAAAAGTTAGTTGCGTATCCTTTACAGGACGTTGCAGAACCAACCCTAACAGCCCCTGGCTGTTGTGTGGTTTCTCTAGGCAATATACGTCCAGTAGTTTGTCATTGCTTTCTGGACTGTCGGCTTTCTTGATACCGCTGTCGAAACCAACGCAAGGCGCAGTGCCCGCAGCTGGGATCGAACCTGGCATCTCGGCATTACGAAGCGAAGCGTTCGCATCGACTTAGCCACAGAGCCGACAAATGATTAGTTTACCTATCTTAATACTAAACAAACACCAGAATGTCTTTGTTTCCAAGAAAATTTTAATTTTCTGGCTGTCTTCTGTCATATCCATCAATATGACAGATTGGCAGGCTTACTGTTTTTAGTTGTGGCAAGTTTTTGCTTCTGGCATTTGTTAGCCCTAATGCGTTTTCCTCCATATTTGAACTGAAGGGAAATAGTTCCATTGCTTAGCTACCGAGCTGAGTACAAGGCATGACACTGTGAATTGCAAATTTAGAAAACGACAAGTGGCCTGTTGCCACAGAACTGGTGGTGCCGTACAGAATTAACTGTGTCTACAAGTACCTGATTTATTAATTGCTGCTTTCAGCTACAATGAATTGCATTTCTAGTGCTGGAATGTTTTGATACTCCTGATGACTGCCTTATGCATTTAATGTGTGTAAATGCTACTGGCTTTGCTGAGACTGCAGTCTGTGCCAGCTAATTTCACAAATGGAAAGTGATTGACAAAGGAACAGAGCAGCTAATGAGTGACCCACTGGGTGTGAAGTTAGAGCTGCCATTACCTGATTACGTTACAGACAGATGTTAAACTAACCCACTGTAGATTAATTTTCAGTTTACCTTCTTCTGACGCTCAGGATCTCTCTTGAACTCCTACAAACCTTTTTTGTTTATTTTTTAAACTGAACTAACTGGAACAGAAAGGGTTAAATAACAAGTGCTTGAGACTCAAAGAGTTAAGACTATCGTAATAAAATAACTTTAAAACAACGGATGTTGGCCTCTGTGGCTTAGGCGTAGCAAACGTGCTTCATAATGACGTGGTGCCGGGTTCAATCCCAGCTGGTGGAAAGTTTGTCTTGTGTTGGTTTCGACAGGGGTACCGAGAGCTGACCATTCAGAAAGCAATGTCAAACTACTAAACGTGAAATGTGCCTTGTGAAACCGCAATAGCCAAAAATTGCTGGGGTTGGTTCTGCAACGTCCTGTACAGGATATGTAAACTAACTAAAACAATAGATTGTGTGATTAGTGTTTTTCAGGTCAAAGGATTACAGGGACATTTTGTTCTGGAGTGTGAGGCAATGAAAGGGCCAATGTTATGCTAAAAAAAAGTGATAGCTGGAGGAACACTAGTCCGGATAAAAGAGATATTCTAAAGACCATTAATGAACAAATGCTAACAGAAAACATGAGATTAGATAAAACAACATCTGAAAGATTGTGAACATGAGATGAGGAGTGAATCCGACAAGGGCAGGTGTATCAGAGAAAGAAAATGATGTGTGAATAAACAGTGTGCTATAGGAACAGTTCTGATCTACACTCTAAGACATTTGCTAGGGGAGACGGAGCATTTATGGGTATACCCAGTGTGTTATGTTGATTCTTAAAACGGTAAATCAGTATGATATATGGTCAGAGTCTGTGGCTTAGGCGTTGCAAACACACTTCATAATGCCAGGGTTCCGGGTTTGATCCCAGCTGCGGGCCATGCCCCTTGCGTTGATTTCGACAGTGGTATCAAGAGCCCACTGTCCAAAAAGCAATGGCAAACTACTGGACGTAAATCTGTCTAGAAAAACCACAACAGCCAAAAAAAAAATGCTGGAGTTGGTTATGCAATGTCCTGTTAAGGATATACAACAAACTTTTTTCTGTGGATATACATTCTATAGTGTGCGGGCCATGCGCCTTGCGTTGGTTTCGACAGTGGTATCAAGAAAGCCGACCATCCAGAAAGCAATGGCAAACTACTGGATGTAAATTTGTCTCGAAAAACCACACAACAGCCAGGGGTTGTTAGGGTTGGTTCGGCAACGTCCTGTAAAGGATACGCAACTAACCTAGTGTGCGTCTAGTGAGATACAGCAAAATAAAAAGGTAAAGTACCTTCTTCACAAAGATAATCTTGGCTCTCAGGTTCACCCAGCCTAAAATGGGTACTAGGCAAAGTTCTGGGAAGTTGAGGTGGCTGCTGTGATACTGACCCCATCACCTACCACGTGCTGTGCTTCTTCTTCTTCTTCAGCATTCCGAGCCCTTGAGGTTCATTGCTGCAGATATCACCCGCCTGCATTCATCTCTCTGGTTGGCCTTATTCTTCAGCATTCCGAGCCCTTGAGGTTCATTGCTGCAGATATCACCCGCCTGCATTCATCTCTCTGGTTGGCCTTATTCTTCAGCATTCCGAGCCCTTGAGGTTCATTGCTGCAGATATCACCCGCCTGCATTCATCTCTCTGGTTGGCCTTATTCTTCAGCATTCCGAGCCCTTGAGGTTCATTGCTGCAGATATCACCCGCCTGCATTCATCTCTCTGGTTGGCCTTATTCTTCAGCATTCCGAGCCTTTGAGGTTTATTGCTGCAGATATCACCCGCCTGCATTCAACTCTCTGGTTGGCCTTATTCTTCAGCATTCCGAGCCCTTGAGGTTCATTGCTGCAGATATCACCCGCCTGCATTCATCTCTCTGGTTGGCCTTCTTCAGCATTCCGAGCCCTTGAGGTTCATTGCTGCAGATATCACCCGCCTCTATTCATCTCTCTGGTTGACCTTATTCTTCAGCATTCCGAGCCCTTGAGGTTCATTGCTGCAGACATCACCCGCCTGCATTCATCTCTCTGGTTGGCCTTCTTCAGCATTCCGAGCCCTTGAGGTTCATTGCTGCAGATATCACCCGCCTGCATTCATCTCTCTGGTTGGCCTTATTCTTCAGCATTCCGAGCCCTTGAGGTTCATTGCTGCAGATATCACCCGCCTGCATTCATCTCTCTGGTTGGCCTTATTCTTCAGCGTTCCGAGCCCTTGAGGTTAATTGCTGCAGATATCACCCGCCTCTATTCATCTCTCTGGTTGACCTTATTCTTCAGCATTCCGAGCCCTTGAGGTTTATTGCTGCAGATATCACCCGCCTCCATTCATCTCTCTAGTTGGCCTTATTCTTCAGCATTCCGAGCCCTTGAGGTTCATTGCTGCAGATATCACCCGCCTGCATTCATCTCTCTGGTTGGCCTTCTTCAGCATTCCGAGCCCTTGAGGTTCATTGCTGCAGTTATCACCCGCCTCTATTCATCTCTCTGGTTGACCTTATTCTTCAGCATTCCGAGCCCTTGAGGTTTATTGCTGCAGATATCACCCACCTCCATTCATCTCTCTGGTTGGCCTTATTCTTCAGCATTCCGAGCCCTTGAGGTTTATTGCTGCAGATATCACTCGCCTGCATTCATCTCTCTGGTTGGCCTTATTCTTCAGCATTCCGAGCCCTTGAGGTTCATTGCTGCAGAAATCACCTGCCTGCATTCATCTCTCTGGTTGGCCTTATTCTTCAGCATTCCGAGCCCTTGAGGTTCATTGCTGCAGATATCACCCGCCTGCATTCATCTCTCTGGTTGGCCTTATTCTTCAGCATTCCGAGCCCTTGAGGTTCATTGCTGCAGATATCACCCGCCTGCATTCATCTCTCTGGTTGGCCTTATTCTTCAGCATTCCGAGCCCTTGAGGTTCATTGCTGCAGATATCACCCGCCTCTATTCATCTTTCTGGTTGGCCTTCTTCAGCATTCCGAGCCCTTGAGGTTCATTGCTGCAGATATCACCCGCCTGCATTCATCTCTCTGGTTGGCCTTATTCTTCAGCATTCCGAGCCCTTGAGGTTCATTGCTGCAGATATCACCCGCCTGCATTCATCTCTCTGGTTGGCCTTATTCTTCAGCATTCCGAGCCCTTGAGGTTCATTGCTGCAGATATCACCCGCCTGCATTCATCTCTCTGGTTGGCCTTATTCTTCAGCATTCCGAGCCCTTGAGGTTCATTGCTGCAGATATCACCCGCCTGCATTCATCTCTCTGGTTGGCCTTATTCTTCAGCATTCCGAGCCCTTGAGGTTTATTGCTGCAGATATCACCCGCCTGCATTCATCTCTCTGGTTGGCCTTATTCTTCAGCATTCCGAGACCCTGAGGTTCATTGCTGCAGATATCACCTGCCTGCATTCATCTCCCTGGTTGGCCTTCTATTTCCAGTTGGTGACACAAAGTATTTGCAAGGACTGTCTGGATATTATCTCTCCATATCTTCTTGGTCTGCCTCATGGTCTACCACCATTCATCTCCCTTGTGTATACAGTTTTTACTTCTCTGTCATCTGACATTCTTTCAATATGCCCCAACCATTTCTGTATAATAGCTCTCATGATGCCAGGCCGAACTGGGTTATAATAATGAAGCTTGCCTCACATGCCGGATGACCTACTGGCACAAAAAGAGTCTTTTATTTTTATTTAAATTTTTTTTACTTGGCATTTACCAGTTAACAAATGTGTCAAGTGGTATGTGGTGCACACGTGGTGCATGACGGTTACAGACAACCACTCCGTGGAAGTCAGTGGCCAGACATGAACACTACTTGGCTAAAAAATAAAAACTAGAATAGTTTTTGGAAGGTTAGGTCTATGGCACAGGCAACAAAATCCACCCAGGTAGCAGCAGAAAAAAATTAAACCAAACAGGAAATGAAATGGGAAATTGATGGACTGAGGAACTGGGGATGTCCAAGAGAAACCATAAGTGAACTAATTCCATCCCTGAAATTTAAGGGATTGCACAGGGTAGAAGTGAAAGGAGAAATAGACTTTAAGCCTCGTGCAACAAATAATGGCACAACAGGACAATCAATGAGTGAATATTTTGCTTTGGGAGACATAGCACTGTGGCAGGTAGGAGCTTGCCTGCTGCTTTTAAGACACCATTTTTGATTCTGCATCTATGACTGACTCTGGTTTCCTGGTAGGTCTAGCTTAAAACTGGTGCCAGGAAATGTCCTGGGAAGAATTGGCAGCTGGCATGATGCTGACCACATCACCCACTAGCCATATGCCCGATGTGCCGGCATGGAAAAGGGCAAAAAAAAAAAAAAAAAAGATACTTAAGATTCACTTATCATGCTCTGGCTGAAGTCAAAAGCTACAGACTCTCATGGATGAACAAAGGCTAAATTCAAAGTCTCTCTCCTCAAAATGGCTGGTCGCCTGCCAAGAGCTTTGCTCAAAGCATAAGCTCTGTAGCTCCAGTGATGATCCCCAGAGATCTTCCCCAAAA